AAGATTCCATGCGCAAATGTCTGATCAAAGTTAAATCGTTTGACTCTCGAAAAACAAAAAGTGTCACATAAAATGGGACAGAGGGAGTATCATGTTAGCATTGTTACTGTTGATAACAATGGAATAACTGTTGGGTCCTTTTCATTGTGAATTGACATGATAATAACTAATAAGCAAGTTTTTATAAGTCTTGGATAAATATGTAAGTCCCTGAACTTGAAAGTGATTCATAAAAGACATGACACCAATAACCAAATATAATATAAGACATAGGCAATACAGTTATCTTCTCAAAAGATACATCCAATTCCTAAACTATTTCATTAAGTTGGATTTTTCAAGAAAAAAAAAATCAGAGGGGATTTTTGACAAGAAAAAGAATCAATCATAAAACTGTCATAGACTCTAAGCCATTGTAGACGTCATTGGCTCCTTGTTATTGCAATTGCAAACGACGAGGTCCTCCGACACTTCATATATTAACCAACATTCAAATCAATGTTCATTTTAAGCATGTTATAACAAATAAACAATAGGAGCTTACTACTTTTATATATACTATCATTTCTCTGTTTTCATTGAAGCTAAGTTGGTCGCTATCCCTTTCTGTAACTTGCAGTTGGAATATAGCAACGATCCAGTTGGTTGATATTTTTTTCTTGTGGGTAAATAGATCTATTTCGTTAATATTCCTAAAGCTCGAAAAATATTTGGCACAATTATATAGATTATCTGTTGCAAAATTCTGTTATAGAAGATGAAGTACTGTGGGTCATTTATGGTTAACAGGATGGAGAGATGAATTAGTTGTTCTACATTGTTTCCGTCATGTTCGTGACCAAGAAATTGGAGAAGCAAACAAAAATCAGAACGAATTTAATAAAGGTTTGACGAATAAAATTGAAAGACATAAGACACCAAAAACTAATTTGAATGAAAAAACATACCTGGCGTCACAGGGATGAGGAGAAGACGAAGAGAAAATTGTTGCTTATTTGTTCTATCTATTGGGAGGAGAAACAGAAATCAATACTTTCTAGAGAGAAATCAAATACTTTCAGAGTCCACTTTTATCTCATGGCGTAATTACCTTTTGCCCTTATATAAAGTCAAATTTGCTCAAGTGCCATTGGTCTTCCTTTCACTTCACGTTTTCTATATAGTATACCTCTTTTCGGGCCTAAGTGACACTAGCTTAAAAAAAAAATCAATCAGCATTGACCTGTTTTGCAAAAAAATAGAGCGCCACAATATAAATAACTTTGGATATCAGCTATAAAAAAAATAAAGTAAAAGTTATGCCTACAATTTATTCTTGATTTGAAAACACCAATTAGCTTGAGCCGTCAATACCTCTATGTCAATCCATGTTGAGTAAACGTTAAAATGATCAGTATTTAATAAACAGATCAGTTAAGTTTGACCTAATTGTAACTATAATCATTAGGAATAACATGATATAAAGGTGAATCAATTGAATGCAATGAATCATGCATAATTCATAAACATGTAACATGGGTGTTAAAAAATGAATCATGATAACAAATTAAGATTTAAGAACAAGACATCATATAAAAGTGGAAAAAAATATAAAAAACATGAGAAAAAAAAGGAAAAAAAAATTCCAAAGCATATTAGAGAATAGAGATGCCACATTATTTGCCTCTGTTATTCCAATGGTAATTATGGACCATAGAAGATTTAGCGCTCAAATGAGTCAATCACCTAATTTCCATCTTTGAAAATTTTTCTGTCTGTTTTCTCCCTTTTTTCTCTGTTTCTTTTTCTTTCATGCAAATCTGTACTCATCCAAGAACGTACTCATGCATGTTTTATATGGTTGACAAGATATTATGTTTATGGATCTAATTTTTGAATAAATACAGGGTAACATTATTGAAAAGAGGCAAAATGGCAACAGAGGTTGTAACGTCGGGAAATAAAACAGAGGAAAACATAGTATGTTATTCGCCATCGATGATAACAACAAATGGAGTATGGCAGGGTGAAAATCCACTTGATTATGCATTGCCACTCTTCCTTTTGCAATTGACATTAGTGGTTGTCTTTACTCGTATTCTCGTTTTCATGTTGAAACCATTTCGACAACCTCGTGTTATTGCTGAGATTCTTGTAAGTTTCCTTTTATTAAAATGTCATAATCTTATGTGAATGGTAATAAGTATTGGTTTTAGGCCCCTGATCGTTTGATTAAATGGACTAATGAATGTTTGTGTTCAATGGTAACAGGGTGGTGTAATTTTGGGGCCATCGGTATTAGGAAGAAGTAAAAAATTTACTGATACAGTGTTTCCTCTACGAAGTGTGATGGTGCTTGAGACAATGGCAAATATAGGCCTTCTTTACTTTGTTTTTCTGGTTGGAGTAGAAATGGACATTGCTGTTATCCGAAGAACAGGGAAAAGGGCGATACCTATAGCTCTAGCAGGGATGGTAGTGCCATTTCTTATAGGGATTTCATTTTCCTTCATGTTGCATAGAAGTGCACACGATACTAAACAGGGGACTTTCGTGCTCTTCCTTGGTGTTGCACTTTCTGTTACTGCATTTCCTGTTCTTGCACGAATTCTTGCGGAGCTAAAACTTATCAACAGTGAAATTGGTAGGATAGCCATGTCGGCTGCACTTATAAATGATATTTTCGCGTGGGTTCTCTTGGCGTTTGCCATTGCCTTTTCTGAGAACAAAAACATGGCTTTGACTTCTGTATGGGTACTTCTTTCTAGTGCAGCGTTTGTTGTTTTCTGCATTATAATTATCAGGCCTTTAATTGGATGGATGATAAAGCGAACTCCAGAAGGCGAATCCATCAGTGAGTTTTTTATATGTATCATTCTCTCAGGAGTCATGATAAGTGGATTTATAACAGATGCTATTGGAATGCATTCTATTTTTGGGGCTTTTATCTTTGGTTTGGTTATTCCTAACGGTCCCCTTGGCCTTACACTTAATGAAAAGTTAGAGGACTTTATTTCGGGGATTTTGTTGCCTCTTTTCTTTGCCATTAGTGGTCTCAAGACGGAGATTAACGCCATTGATGGAGTTGGTTCATGGGCCATATTAGCTCTGGTTATAGTCTTAGCTTGTGTTGGAAAGATTGCTGGAACAGTCATTGTAACACTGTATTACAGAACACCAATCCATGAAGGCATTACTCTTGGTCTCCTCATGAATGCCAAAGGACTCATTGAGATGATTGTGATCAATATTGGTAAAGATCAAAAGGTTATTGATCAGAAATCTTTTGCAATTATGGTTGTGGCAGTTGTGCTTATGACTGCAATTATCATCCCATTCGTGACGCTGATTTACAAGCCAGCAAGAAAGTTTGCACCATATAAAAGAAGAACAGTTCAAAGTACAAAACCAGATAGCGAATTTAGGGTACTGACTTGCATCCACACACCTAGAAATGTTCCAACAATCATCAATCTTCTTGAAGCATCTTGTCCTACTAAGAAATCTCCAATATGCATATATGTCCTACACCTTGTTGAGCTCACTGGACGCTCGTCTGCCATGCTAATCGTCCACAATACACGAAAATCTGGCAGGCCAGCACTTAACAGAACTCAAGCTCAATCGGATCATATTATCAATGCATTTGAGAACTTTGAGCAACATGTTGGTAGTGTCTCCGTGCAACCCCTCACTGCCATCTCCCCTTACTCCACCATGCACGAAGACATTTGCACCGTGGCTGAGGACAAACGAGTGGCGTTTCTAATCATTCCTTTTCACAAGCAGCTAACAGTTGATGGCGGAATGGAAATCACAAATCCAAATTTTCGAACGATAAACCAAAATGTATTAGCAAATGCACCTTGTTCTGTTGGGATACTTGTCGACAGAGGACTAAGTGGTTCCACAAGGTTAGCAGCAAATCAAGTTTCTCACCATGTGGCTGTACTATTCTTTGGTGGACCGGATGATCGTGAAGCATTGTCCTACGGATTGAGGATGAGGGAACATCCCGGGATCAACCTCACCGTCATGAGATTCCTCCCTGGAGTACCTGCACATGAAGAGGCAAGATCAGGTTCAAGAAGAAGTAATATGAATGATCCAAATGTACTAACAATAGTAACAGATGACGACAAAGAAAAACAGCTAGACGAGGACTATGTCAACGCGTTCAGGTTAAGAACAGCTAATGATGATTCAGTTGTATACATTGAAAAAGTAGTGAATCATGGAGAAGAGACAGTAGCAGCAATAAGGACTATAGATCAATCACATGACCTGTTCATAGTAGGCAGAGGACAAGGCACCATATCGCCGTTGACAGCAGGACTTACTGATTGGAGCGAGTGCCCGGAGCTAGGTGCAATTGGAGATCTATTAGCATCATCAGATAATGCAGCGATTGTTTCAGTGTTAGTGGTGCAACAATATGTAGGAATGGGGCATGGGGATCATATTCTCATACCAGACAGCCCCGGACAACAACTACATGAACATTTTAACTTTGGCTATACGAATAATCGAACACAAATAAGAGGACAACCACCTCAATGTCATACACAACCCTGAAAACAATATACATTAAGATTTTTTATTTTTGTGGTTTTGTCAATTAATATTTCAAGATAATAGTGACATTCTTCCTCATTTTTTTCGAATTTTCGAAAGACCACCTCCAAGAGTGGAAAGTAGTCATTGGATTCCACCTATTTATTATGTATAGAAACTTACTGATTGAATTACTATTTCTCTGCGAAAGAATAGCCTTGAACTGCTAAGATTTTGACCTTTTGTGTTATCTTTCATTTCTCCTCTTTATTTTTTCACTTTGCAACATGGTATTCATTTATTTCAAAGCTTGAATGAAGAGTATTTCTTTTGTTCTGAACTATTGAGAGTGTGCGTTTAATAGTTGAGGGACTACTAGTTTATCTCTCGTTAATATTCAAACGATATGAAATATTCTAAAAAAAAACATATTATCTAGTACTGGAAAAAACTAGAGGACAGGAGCCTCAATTCATAAATGTCCATTTTTTTATTAATCTCGTCAGAAAATATCAAACTAATAAAAATGGGATACAACAGAGCGAAAAGAAGGATAGGAGAAGCCTTCCTTCAAACCAAATAGTAAAATAACTCCACACACATTTACTAACAAAATAAGCAAACCATGCATGTAACACTCATACATAATACTGATAGTGCAAAAATTCTTTACACTGTCAGTATATATAACTTAAATCCAAACGAGAAAAAAAAAAGAAGTTGTAGACAATGAACAAACACATAGAGATGGTTTTGATAATTTACGCGCATTTGAAACCTTTAGGGGCAGTCTTTCCACAGTTGTTGAGCAACAAGCTGAGTGAAAGAGCAGCATTAAGGTGAGCTCCCAAGACATTAGCTTTAATGGCAGTGCAAAGACAAACAGCAGCATCAACATCAGCAAGATTCTCAATAAGAGAACAACATGAACTCTTTGATGACAATAATGGGCTTCCAACAACAACATGCACCAAGTCATTCAATAAATTGGCACACACCTTTAGTTTAAGTGTGTTCTTTGGGCATTTATGGTAAGTTGATGGAGGATTCTTGTGTTGAGTCTTTGGTGGACATGAGATGTAAGTTGAAGTAACCATTGTGAAGAAGAGAAGGTTCAAAGTGATGAAGAGAAGAGCAATGGATGATGATTTAATAGCCTTAGCCATTTTTACAAGTGAAAATTTGGGATGTGTGTTTTTTGCTAGAGCTAAGAGGGTACTTGGTGTTGGAAATGAACAAGTGAGTGACAATTTATAGATGGAAAATGTGAGTATTTTTATTTATTTTTGGCTATTATGTAAATTTATGTAGCACAATTTAGAAACGGTTCGACTTTTAAATTTCACAAATATATAAGGCTTATTTAGATTACAAGTTTCAAAAATCTGCTTATCATTTTTCAAATTTCGTGCCTAATCAAACAAAGTCACGTTAGAACCGATGGAGTAACTAATTAGTGATCAAGAAAATTTAGAGAGGGACATGTCCATGTTGTGGGCTATGTGCATTAGATATAGAAAGATATAAGGGTAAGCTGGCAAAATGTAATTCAAGATAAGCATAGCCTATAATGGTTGTTGACATTGGAGCTTTGTGGATTTTGTTAGTTGTCAATGTTCTTCGATCTGCAAAAAAAACAAAACTATCCCCTATTTTTGCATGAAGATGTTGGATCTTTATCTAAAATCCTCATTAGGTGTATATTGGTTCTTATTTTCACCTTGAAAATTATATGTTAGTTATTTCGGTATTACAATGTTATAGGAAAATAATTTCAGAACAATTAATTTTGTAATGATTACTTCTAATATAACTTGTTCACAAACAAATGAAGCTATTAAATACTACTATCTCGACAAGTAAGGCTTGTTCAACTAGTTAAGGCGTTGAACATCTCCATCATTAATCGATAAATTGAACGGGAACACTGTTACTCAGCATGAGTGGGGTGGAAAAAAACTACTACTAATATCCTGATGAGTTTAATAAGTTATACCAAACACAATAATGTCACAAAAATGCTGCATTAATGGCTCCTAGAGTGGCAGAGAATGACACGCAGGAATAAATTAAGATTAAGCTCTGCTAATTACTATATTGATTTAGGAAGTAATAACCCATTAATCAGAAAATACTAAACCATCATATATTTGAAGTGTTAATTTGTAATTAAGTAATTAACATTAATTTTGTAACTATTAAATTGGGTCACGTGTATCCTGTCCTCAAAATGCTACATAGAGTACAATTTTGTTAAGAATATTCATGTACAGAAAGGGAATGTAATTAAAAAAAAAAAAATTAGGCTCTCTAACACAAGTGTTTTGTATCTTGAAACTTCTGATTAAGGATGAAGAAGTACTTACCACTTCCATCAAAGTCTTATTTGTAATTATTATTATTATCTAACTGCAGATGACATGTACCTATTTTATAAGTTTTTAGTATTTCCTTGCTTATATTCCTGCTGTTCCATTTCATTTTTCAAAAATTAATATATAACAACTTTGATCAATATTTTAAAGTGAAGCATTATAATTTGTTACTTACATATGTAATTCAGATTAATCAAATTAACTTTGTGAAGTAAATTATGACAAGTAAAAGTGAACGGAGAAAATATCTTTTAACCTATATATATATATTGAAGGGTCATAATTGGGCATGGCCAAGCTTTATGAAAGTGGAAAGGATTCTTCTGGACTTGATAAAGACAGAGCCTCAAAGCTCACTGATGATATTTGGGATCTTGTGGTTTTCAGTTCTTGCCTTCTTGGCATGGCAATTAGTAGTTGACATGATTTTAATGTATCCATTAATTAATACCATGTGTCTAACTTAGATACTCCTACTGAAAGTCTTGTGCCAAAACAACAACTTGGAGACCATGTATTTTTTCATTTTAAATTTACTAAATGGAGTGGACAAGTTTACAACTACACAAAAGAACCATTTTAGGAATTACATTGAATGAACCTTTTGCAGCATAGTCATGATTATTGACATAAAGCTTCTTAAAATATAGGGAAATGGGTCTTATATACCCCTCGACTTTGTTATTTGGAGCTGATATACCTCTCGTTATAAAAGTAGCTCATATATGCCCTTACCGTTATACAAACGGCTCACATATACCCTTGCCGTTACAAAGTGGCTCACATATGCCCTTCATTTAACGTAAGTTAAAAAATTAGTTTTAAATTTATATTTATTACTTCTAATTTTTTAAAAAAAAATTATTTAAGGGTATATATGATTCTTCTATCAAAGTTCAAGGAATATTTTAATTTTTTTCATACATAAATTATTTGACTTCTTTTATTATAATTATTTGAGTTTCTTATTCTTATTTTATTTGTTTCTTTCATTCCTTGGTTTAAAGAAAAAAACTTAAACTATTTTTTTTGTGTATTGTAATTTAATTTCGTATTCAAAGAAAAAATTTGGTCATCTACAATAAGTTTTACAAGAATATTAGTGAAACATAAATAAATTTGATCATCAAAATAATAATTATAAATTAGTCATTGAAACAAAAAAAAGTCAAAAAAAAAATATTTGACGGTTAGATTAAAATTATTTTTCTTTCATTTCCGTAAGAGGAAAAGGGTATATGTAAACCATTTGTTTACAAGTAGGGGTATATATGAGTCACTTTCATAATAAGGGGTATATCAAATCTTTTTCCCTAAAATATAATTATCCGGGAAGCCCCTCAATATGTCACCCTATTCTAAACTTAAAGTTGGCAACAAATTTTAAAGTAATAGAAATAAATTGCAATCACAAATAAAATATGAAGAAATTAACATAACTTTGTCGATAAAAATATATTGGTACAATTTTGTTTGTTCTTTTGACTCTTCTCTCTTAAGATTTCTTCGCGATTTGAGAATGAAAATGATATATTTCTCAAATTAGAATAATATGAATCTCCTTGAGATTTATTTGATCTTTGTGAATATTCTATGAATTGTGAAATATTCTATATGTCTCTTTAAGAAAATATATTACTCCCATTTATATAGATGCGAGCTAAAGTTTATGTTAAAGTATAGCCTTCAAAAATTCTAATCGAAATAAAACTGATTTTGTAAACCTCCTTCAAAATTTTAATGTCTACAAAAACAACCGAAGATATTTTCTGAGAAGGAAATATTACTATTGACCCGATCGATAATATGAATTGGAATTATCGACTCTAGTCATACCTCATTGTTTGTGTGAATATAAGAAAATATCATTCTTCTTAAATTGATTGTAAAAAAAAAAAAGAATGTCAGGTAAATTAATGCCATTCAACATTCAACAAAAGGTTCATTATACTATCAATGTAAACGACATGAATGTAGGAGAAGAAAATAAATGACGTGGAATAGAGATTGAAACTTCAAATATAGACGTACAGAATTTGAATCTAGACAAAAATTTTGCCATGTTTGATTTGGTCAAAAAAAAATTATCTGAAAAAACAAGTTATTTCATGTTTGATTTGGTCAAAAAAAAATTATCTGAAAAGAACAAGTTATTTAAAAATAGGGATAAAGGAAATGAAATTCCGACTTATATATTGATTGTATTTTCTTTACCGATCAGCTCCATCCCCCACCATATTCTTTACCTCCACATTTACCTCACATAGTGATCTACCACACACCGAATTATGTTTTATTGCATATAAATATTTTTAGAATAATATTTTTTTTACGATACAAGAAAATGAATATAAAACTGAATTACTATATTTTTAATAAAAATATTTTTCAAGATTCCTTCGTATTGAAGAAACTTGGTGTATATTGGTTTTCAAAGTTAAGGTCTTTTATTCTTCAAATTCCAAAGCATATAATCCACCCATTTCAACATTGACTAGAGTTTTATGGAAATTGCTACTCCCTTTGTGCGTTATTTTTAATAGTTAATTTGATTAATTTTTAAAGTTAAATTAGATTATATTAATTTGATATTTAAAAAAATAGATATTTTAAAAATTATATAAAAAGTATTATAAATTGTAATTTCTTGCATATCGATACGATAAAAAATACATCATAAATATTGATCAAAATTTTATTGTTTAACTCTAAAAAAGAAAATCATGACATATAAAAGTAAACGGACGGATTACTCAACATGATTAATACTCCTAATAATAGCAACTACGCCTTTTTTATTATTTCTTTTTGGGGAATTATTAAGCAAAAAACAGGGGATTCAATTCTTCTTTGGGACTTTAAAGCAATCATAATACCAAAAAGCACCAATGCATCACAAGTTGTAACATTTATAGCCCAAAGATGAACTTATTGCAGTTGAAATGTACACAAAATTAGCTGTTAAATGTATTGAAAATTTGAAAGAGAATTCAAACAAAATTGGGAGAACAGAAGGTCCAATTTAATGAATAACTAATATGCATATCTCTCACTTTTTATTATACATTACTCAATAGGTATTCTAATTTCATCTAAGCTTGAAGAAGCCGAGTCACTGTTAGACGAATTAGTTAGAGTAACTTTCTCATGCTGTGTAACGATTCAAAAAAAGAGAGAATTATGTAAATAAGTATTTAAGGGCATAATTGTCCTTTCACGTTTTAAATGAATAAATAAATAAATAAATAAAACAGATTAGTATTTATTTATTTTAATGTTATTTGACTAATTCTTGAATTAGTCTCCTAATCCAATTAGTCCTCTCTCTCTCACGCTTCTAAACTCCCTCTCTCACGTTCTCCATCTTCCTCACATTATTTCTGCCAAAATATCAATAATTTTCATGCTTGAAGAACTCACAAAAAAAATTTTTAAGCAAAAGAAAAAGTAATCAAAACGTCAAGGCTAAGAGAGGTTCGTCGAGAGAGGTATACTTTGAAGTGAATTGGGAGTGGTTTGGAGGAGTTTTCCGGGCAGCAACATTAAAGTTTGAACATCGATTAAGGTATGAGTTTCTCTCATGGAATTCTTTCTCCAAGAGTACTTTCTTTCGGACGTTTCTTAAACTCTTGAAACTAAGGTTGTTCCCCTTCGTATGTCCTTGTCCTTAGCTCCCTAATGAATTTGTAGGATGGGTATGTTGTGCTGCTAGATTTTTGCATGAATGATGTGTTTAAATTAAATATGAATGTGTTTATGTGCGGGAAATCGCGATAATGATCATCAGAATATGATCGGAAAAAGTTGATGTATGGGTGTGTATAGGGCAGTGTTTTAGGCATTGTTTTGGGGTATATAA